AGCTGTGGAATGATCAGATGAAATTAGATTAAAAACATCGAGGTTATCTGTCCACCTACCTTCTATGTAAATGACGTGGGCCTTCGTTTTTCCTTTTATATTACTCGTCTTCCTTTTATAATATGTGAAGAGTTTCATTCCAAAAGGAGCCAAATCCACTTTGGGTACTTCTGAGTAAATTGCCTTTTTTATTTCTCCACTTTCCCTTTAGCCATGTATACCTTCATGTTGTTATATATGTTAAAGGTGTCACCCTGCATGGACCTGATTATCTGCCAATAATGATAAGAAAAAATCTTCCCTTCGGCTTTTCTGATGTTTACTAAATTTTTTTATTTTTTATTTTCGTGGATTTAGCTCCTTTTGGAATGAAACATGTTATTGTACCTAAAAAATAAAAAATAAATCATATTTTCTCAATAAAGTCACTGAAATTTTATTCAAATTTAGCAGCAAACCTTTCCTTTTAAATAATAATAGTGAAATCACACATAAATATAACCTTTCGAAAAGAAAGTAAACAACATTATTACAGTTTCATTCCAAAAGGAGCTAAATCCATTCAATTCCAAAAGAAGCTAAATCCATGTTTCATTCAAAAAGGAATTACTAAATCCACATTTTTTTTGGGCACATATCGCATGACAACCAAATGCCCTAAGATGTTGATACCCACTTTGATAGAAAAATAAGGTTTTACAAAATGGAAAAATACTAGAAGAGAAAAGGTAAGAAAGAGTAAAGACGGATTGAGGACGGTAAACCCCAAACAAGAGACTCAAAAGATCTACCCCAGAATCCTCTCACCGGCACCAGAGTTGCCTAGGCCAATGATGGCCGAGAAGATTGCGCAATGTACCGCGCAGGTGTGGCAGGAAGGTGCCAATTGCGGTGAGGGGTTTTCATGGACCAGTAGATCTGAGATTATATTATCCAAAAAAAAGAGATGAATATGAATTGACAAATAGTACCAAAAATAGAAGAAAAAAAAGAAATAAAGTGAAAGGCGTAAATATTCTAAAAAAGAATGAAACGCCGATAATACCAAACAACAACAACAACACAAAATCTAAAAATTTGATAGAAATCAGAAATAACTGGTGGATTTTTTGTCTTATCATATGTTATAGGTCCAGAGCGACACCTTTAACATATATAACAACATGAAGGTACATGGCTAAAGGGAAAGTGGAGAAATAAAAAGAAATAAATTTAAAAAAATATTAAAAATTGTTGTATCAGTATACTATAATGAATAACAGTAGTGAATTAATTTAACATCTTACTTGATTCATACTTGTCCATAATGCAGTGTTTTTCAGTATTTTTTTTATTTGTTTTTCTTATTTTGGTACTGCATGCAATTGTAAAGTTTTAAAAAAAAAGTGATTGTAACTTCTTGTAAATAAGTTGTGTTCTACAGTGCCTGTGTATTGCATGACCTACGTCAGTACGTGATAACTTGTAAATGTGTAAAGACATAAGATTTTAATATAATTATAGTAATGCTAAAATGAAGATACATAACATATTTTTATGGTGTACATTGAAAGCTTTATTCGGCCATAACTAACAGTTAAATTTACACAACATTATTGAGATGAATACAAATTATACTTGCTGTACTGAAGGCAATATTTAAACGTGATGTTGATTCCAACCATTGCATACAAACAGATCATGTGTATTAAAAAAGGCACATTTTTATTTAGCATCTATCGCTATGACAACTTTAACCGTCGTCATTAAGAAGGAGCAATATACTTCATTTGTATACCACCATGTCTTGTTACTTATTAGTTACTGCTTATTTATATACATCTTATCTTGTGTCTTTCATAAAAACTTGACATACTCTATAGGCAATGTGTAGATAAGTTTACCAAAGAAAAGTATCTATAACAGTAATGTTTCTACGCGCTTGACAAATATACTATTACCCCGGTCATTTGATTCAGTGCTTGCCCGCACACAATGTTTTGACTAGTACGTGATCATACAAATTTTGCCGAGAAACTGCCTACTAATTGATATATTTGGTAAATTATTATATCTATTTGGACTTGATAGATATAACGCATGTGTCGCGCACTTGTGCGTAGTCCCATATACATCTTTCTGTGTACAGTGCTTGTAACTTTACCAAGACTGGGCCAATTTTTTTATCATTTCAATTAGTGCTGTAAGTCAAACGCTATGTTCGTGTTCGGTTCGGTTCGGCAGAGTTCGGCAATTTTTCACCCGAACATGGTTCGGTTCGGGGTTCGGTAATATAATAGCAAGCAGCATTATAGCCACGGCGGTCGGCACTGGGCGGGCCGCCCGCCCTGCCGGGCCTGAACAGCACGGAGGACTTCTTCACACTGCTTCCGACCGGCACGAATTTCACATTAAAAAACTGCTCTAAACGTAATTATTTGCGAAGAAAAATACTACTTACATTCGTATTTCCGTCTTGAATCATGTTTTATTTTCAACTTTAAAAGAATCATGTTTTCAATTTGTCGATAAAATGATATTTTTTAAAGATTTTCCGAGACGGTTTTTGTCTAATGTTAGAATCATGAAAGCTGCCTTCTTGAACAGAGACTCAGGCTCGTCAATAACTGTTTTTTTTATAAGTTTTTATTTTCAATAGGAAAAATATAAAATCCCTATTTTTCCTGGATAAATAAATACCATACTAGAATATATATTTATTTCATTATTTATACAGTAAAATTTGTCCGATATGGTTACAATTAAAATATTTTTTTTTTTGTTGAGTGGGTTTGAGCTGAACCTGTTTTGATCACGCACATGTTTTCTTGTTTATATGGCTTGCGATCGCGACGTAGCGTGGTCAGGATTTGGGATTTAAATGGCGCCAGTGAAGTTGCGCCCACCACTGGATAGGCATAAATCACAAAGGTGGAAAATGGGAAAAAAGTTAATATAAAATGAGCAATCATGACATGAAAATTAGGTACAAAATGACAAGTTTATTAGCTTGCCAAAACGTTTACATTTTTCTGCCGAACATCCGAACCAGGCCTTTGCGTTCGGTTCGGTTCGGTTCGGTTCGGAAGTGCCATGTTCGGCGAACTTCCGTTCGGTTCGGCGGTTCGGCTACAGCACTAATTTCAATGATTCTAGAACCTTGCAGTACACACCAAGACTTATATGCTAGATGATCAACCTTTTCTGATCGATTCCACAACAATCCTTTCACAATGCAGTCGCATGACCATAACTGGTTTTATCTTTTAAGTTTCACATCTTACTTTATATATAAATGCTTTAAAAATTGTCTGAGTGATTCTTTTCCTTAATGTGTACGAGTATACATGTATACATACTCCATATCGATCTCAAATCCTGAATCATATCAGTTTCAGCACAAAATTAAGTATAGTTAGGTACATATATGTCTTTCATCTTCCCTAATGCTCGACTATGAATATCACCTCAAGTGATTAACATCCAACATAAGGTTTTTCAAAAAAATAGCACAGACATTTCAAAACTGGTCATGTCCTATACGCACACAAAAGACAATTCTTCGTTGTGTGTACTGAGTTTCATATGAATCGATCAAACTACTTCCAATAGTTTGCTCACATACTTATTTTACACACTGCACATGCATTGAGTTTTATACTGTTATTATAACGCCTCATCAAAGATACCAAACTATAAAATTGCTAAAACTTGGAAAGAATATGCTCCACAAGATTATTAAAACAAAATTGTATTCTTTGTGCAAAGCTTCGTTACCATGGAGGTACCTTAACAGACAGACACAACAAATGTGTCTTGCACACCCTCGGGTCAATCGGTATACCAAGTTTTATTACAATTTGCAAAAAAATTGGAAAAAATTTGACCCAGTTTTTTACAATAGACCAACAGAAAGACTCGCCTGCCCAACTGTATCCTTCTTCCTTTATACACCCTTTCAAACTACAAAGTAGTTACAGGCAGCATATCTCTTGATGGTATAACCTTGAACCGCAATACTTTGGCGTTGAGCTGATTCACGCTCATTGATTCAAATGATGCATGAAACCAACTGTTTTGCTGTCTTGTGATCATTTCTCTTTTTCGCTTGCATTATTTTAGTCACATTGATTGCATTAAACAAAAAATGAAGACTATTTACAATAAGATATTCTACAAATCTTTCTTCTGTCCATGTTGATTTTCAACAGGTTCCGAAGTATAGTCTTTTACATGATCGACTGTCACCTCAGTTACATGCACAGTCACTAAAACCAAACACATTGTTGACTCATGGTTTGACCTCTTGGCTGTAAATTTTATAATTACTACCGTAACTTCTTCAAGGAATATAGGTTGCCAAATAGATACAAATTGAAATATCCACCATTTCCACATGAGCAAGCACTGATTTTATCACAAATTATGAATTGTATAAATCACATAGAGCTTTTATACACTGATGTCACAATTTGTCTTTTATATTCCTACATTTCTTCCATTTGTAAACTTGCCAACCTCTTATTGTAATACAATATACAAGTGCCAAGCATGGTGGCTAATCTAGCAACAATAACAATTTATTTCTGGTACATGTATATCATGTGTTATGTGATTTTTTTTTCTCCAGATAACCACATCCCCATGATCCCCAGGGACACTCTAGTATCAAGTTTGGTGGTATTTTGTCAAAGGGTCTCTGACATATCAAGAATACATGCTCGTAATGCTAAGCCATGCAATCTTTCACCTCCGGACCACAAAATCATTAGCAACCAAATGAGTCCAAAATGTTAAGTTCCAACCAATCCTCAAGATAGCCTAAAAACATGCCACATGGACAAATTAAATCGAGGCGATTAAGAGTCTTGCATGCAATCATGCAACAATGAACCTCATTTGACCTTTGACCTACTTATGTGACCTTCAACTCCAGAATATCATGGAGGCCAATAAAGGGCATCTACCAATCAAGTAGTTACAAACAGATGCAGGGTTGGAAAGTTAGCAACCCTAATTGATTTTTGCAGGTAAGATTTCACATTAGACTTCATTCAAATTTGTGTACAGTCACGGAGGATGGACGGAAGGACGCCATTTGGATCCCTTAGTCTCTGCTCGAAAAAAAAGCAGTTCTCAAGTCAGACAATCCCAAATGTTCACTACAGAGGATTACATGGATTTCTCTAATCGGCCTAGTCTCCTGGCTAGGATCACATCAACTTGTGGTGGAGGAAATGGTGCAAGCCGGGGCCTTGTGTGTCTAGGGTCATCAGGGAGCAGAACAGCCTTCGAGAACAGTGGTCCTTGGTCCTGTTCTCTGCGTTCCAGTATCGCACCGATGAGTCCTTGTACATACATGTAGGGGTAGGTCTTGGGGACCTTCTCCTTCCGGGCCACGTAGTTGTTGGCACGCTTTGACCATACTGCAACATATCTGTATCATAAAATAAAAGAACATGCAAAATGTAACAAGTTGCATTATATGCACACTCATTCTTGTCAATTGGAAATGATTCATATCTCTTAAAGATAAACTTGAGTTCTGGTAAAAAAAGAAAATGAATTCTCACAGAATCTAACGAAACTTACACTGAATGTTCAAGATTACAAATAAATGTCATGTGCCAAACAATTTTGGAAGAAAATGTATACTGGCTGAGTAATGAGCATAGAAAGATAAGGAAATCAGGGTAGTACTAGCCCCGACAGGCCGACACCATGTGTCTTGTCCCATATACATCTTTCTGTGTAAGTGATTGTTACTTTACCAAAACTCTGCCAAATTTATGATGATTTTGATGACTCCAGAACCTTGCATTACACACCAAGTATATTATTACACTGAATCCAAGTCCGCATTTAGGGTCCAAAATCAGCAGCATGATTGACAAACCATCAGCTTACAGTCCGTCATCTACATAATTTAGATGTGCGTCGTGTACAGGGACAACTTCTTTAGATGACGTCATATTTTGGCGATTTAAAAGGGGCGTTCCCAGGAAGGACAATTAGATATTTAATAATTTCCCCAAAATTGATAAATTTCATGGGAAAGAACTGCCAATTCGGATTGCCCTGTCCAACTACACAGGGAAAACAAAAAATCATGTTGTTTTTTTTTACTCCACCCACTTTGGATTGCCTTGTCCATCTAAAAAAAAATGTACAAATAAAAATAGGAAAAACAAGAAAGAAAAGAAAACCTTTTTTTCTTTCTTTCTAATTTCCACTCACTTTGTATTGCCTTGTTCATCAATCTGGTCGGGCCTGTCCTTGTGTGCCATGTAGTCGATGACCGCAAGCAAATTCCTTGCCCGGTTTGCTGGGTAGCTGGATGGATAAGACAAACAATTGGTATTACCACTACCATGATGAATGAATAGTAAATGCTTTAGACAAATCTCAGACTCATTGGCCCGTAGTCACAAAGGAGGTTTGTAGGAGGTTTGTACAAACCATGGTTTGACGATGGTTTACATCTATGGAATGCTGCTCGCATACCGTAAATTGTAAATTAACATTGTTAACAAGTATGGAGTTTACATTCCTTCTCCATCAGTTTACAAATGGCATTCCATAGATGTAAACCTTGGCCAAACCATGGTTTGTACAAACCTCCTTTGTGAATACGAGCCATTCACTTCAGTTCTGGATTTGTGTTGTAAATTATTGACTCTTAATTAAAGGTAGTTACATTTCCCTGCTACAACCACTCCAACTTGACTTAACATCAGGTACCGACACAAGTACGATACAAAGTCTGCTGTTTCAAGACTCTGCATGCATCCAAAAGTGATTTCAGCATTTATATAGATGTCATTCATAATTTCTCATTAACTTTGCTATTTGCTTCAAAATATGATATTGTAACTGTAACCGTACTGTAATGATATGTTTCAACTTTTCCACAGACAATCTTACTTCAAACATACAAAATGATACTAAAAATACTTACTCAAAGGAATACCGCTTGGAAGCATACATCAGTATATGGTTGTGGAAACACTCGAGCATGCTGGTGTGCCTAAGGAATTATGAAAACAAAATAAAAACTGATATAAATGATAGGGCATTTCATTATTTTCATACCACAAAATCAATATTGAAAATCCCATGTCATACACATGAGCAAATAAGATGCATTATCTTGACCTGCTGATATGTCCCAATTGTATAGGTCATAACCGAAAAAGAGCTCAATCTTGCAAACATGTACGTAATGAACGCATTCTCATTAAATTCCTCTCAATTTACAGAGCCTTTCGTACATGTATACAGAATCCTACCTGAAGCGAGCAAATCAGCAGAGTAGGCCAAGTTCTCCATGAATTTGCGGTCAAAGGTGACTTGTACTATTCACCTGCTAATTCCCCTACTGCTGCTTGGAATTTCTTCGCTGGGGATGGATTGTGTTGTCTGTTCTTCATATCTGTAAAAAGTGAAGAAACGAAAGTCATTCACAAAGTAAAAAACATTCAGATTTTAAATCACCAAAAGAAATTATTTTGAAGATGGCATTCTCTAATAATTATCACAGCTAGCCAGATTTGGAATTTGCATGACTAATAACTGATGCATTGGTTCTCTGTCATGTATGTGAAGTTGAGACACTCTTTGGTAGAGATAAATATAGATGAGACAGTCACATCTCAAGCAAGCTATAGTATAACCTTGTCGACTTTTAAAAAGAGCAGGATGTTTACCCGGTTGACTAGCCCTGCACGTCATCATTACAAAGAAAACTGCAGTTGTAACGAGGGACATTAAAGGTAGGGTCTATTACAAAGTTTTGGGAAATTTTGAAAATTGGGTGGATAGTGATTCTTTACAATTTTGATATATTTGGATGCCCCTGTGGAAGTATTATAAGCACTAGAAAATTTAGCTCCTAAAACACTTCTGCTTTCGAAAAAAATTGAATATAAAAATTTACCGGTGCTCCCGGTAAATTTTGATAAATTTAAAATAGCGCCTACGGTCGTACAACGGTAGCTGCTAGTGCTACCATAAAAATCCCGGAATATGTAGTTGTGATATATAATTTCAAAAAGGTAATAGCCAATCGGTCAATTGTAGCTTGTTGTATAGCTGAATTAATATATTGACCTTGAGAGAGAGTTATAGTATACCCCATAAAGAGATTATTATTTACAATTTCATCACTTTAGACTCGATTTCAACGCGACAACGTTCACTGAATATTGTAGGATCGCATATGCTTCCAATATTTTCATTTGAACCAAATTTATCCGGAGGTCTAGTGGAGCCAGACGTAGTCTCAGTGGAACAACCGACGATATAGAGACTGAAGCTTTCGGTCTACTGTAGACCTAGGCTAGACTATCAATATCATATGATTCATGAAATCTGAATTAAAAATCCAAGGCAAGAGATAACAAAACGTAATTTCTTAAATTTGCCGATTCCATGCATCTAGTCTCTAGACTAGATCAAATTAAAACGGTAGGCCTACCCAATGCAGTGGGGCGTATATCATTTCAACTTACCTCTCAGTGAGCTGGCATGTCTATTGCATCCTCTAGACTCGGCAACGAGAAGGCCGCCTGCAGCTCGCGAAGTTTCTCCGCCGTACCCTGGCCTTGTTCACAGCCACTCCCGCGCCTCCTCTGGGCCGGATGGTCGAGCTGCCATTGCTTGTTTCTCTCCTTCCTCTTACCGTCTTACTTAGTCTTATTCCGATTTAGCGTAGCCTTAGCCTTGTCCTTAGGCTTAGCACTAGCTGAGTCCGAGTCGGCCATCGTCCGTGACCTCGAGCTCCTTTTCCAGTCTCGATCTCGTTATCGTATTTCAATCAAAGCTTGTCTGTAGCTGTCTAGCGTTCGATCGGCGCCGGTGATAATCTGATATGAGCTGTGTGTGTTATACTTTACGTGAAAGCAGCGTATTGGAATTGATCAGCTGTACTGTATTACTAGCGCGCGGTCGGATACCCGCCTGCTAGCTACCTGTAGTACTGTACGTACCAACGAACTCAAACACTCGTTGTAAATACGCTGGTTGTTAAATGACATAGAGGGAGCTAAACACGTAAATTCAAAAAATAAACCGTCGAAAGTCAAAAGTGATGTCCGGACGTCAAACACTTTTATATAATGTTTTGAAAGCAAATTGCACAACAATTAGAGCATTTGATTTGGAATTATTATCATCTCCCATGTTTTTTTCGATGATCTTTCATATGGTACTGAAATAAACCAAATCTGTTTTGGAGGGGCACTTTGGAAATTACCAATACTCAACTATACCTTTAATATTAAATGCATAATCTACGGACTTACTTATATGAATTATCCAATTTGTATCTCAGAACTGTGAAACGGTACCTTCACGCACTTGAACATAGAGCTATATGACCCGGCGGCCGATATATTTCCGGGTCAATTCCTACCAAAACATAGCCAATGGCCAATCAGAGCACTCGTTTCGTGGGAGTTTGTTGGTCAAGCCGGGCTGACTCGTACGTAGCTACAGTAGCTATTGGACGTTCGAAAAGAAAAAATGAATATTCATCAACTAAAACCAAGACGGATAATGTTGACGACGAGAATTTCTCGGATTAACAGAGCTGCCAACTAGTACGGATTTCCCGTAATTGGTACGGAAATTAACGACCATTACGGAATGTTGTCTCAAATTACGGATTTAAAAAAAAAAAAAAAAAAGATTTTTTTTTTTTTTTTTTTTTTTTTTTTTTTTAATGAATTAAATATGATTTATCGTAGCGAGTGCTGTGAATAGGAGCCATTTTTCATGATAAACTGTGTTGTGATGACCTGAAATTCAATACTTAACATCTTTGTGTGAGTAAAATCACCAAAAATTTCAGATAATCATGCGTCCGCGCAGTGTTGGCGTGTCGTTTTTTTAGATTCATAGCGCCGCATAAGAAATTACTGATTTATACCCCAAATTACTGATTTTGAGCCTTGTGATTACTGATTTTCTGTTCTGGAGGTTGGCAGCTCTGGATTAATCATTAATTTAGGATCTAAATGAGCAAGCTATCATAAGTCAAATAAGCTATATATATGTTATTTTTAATTTTTATTATAATTGCAGCAGTTATGAGTATGAGGATGTAAAGAGTGAAAATCTCGTTGCATATCTCATTCATCGCGGTCCGGTCGAACCGAACCATTTTTTCCGTACAGTCCCGATAGGCCATACTTCAGTCTCTCTAATCGGAGGTCTAGTGGAGCCAGATGTAGTCTCAGTGGAACAACCGACGATTAGAGAGACTAAAGTTTTCGGTCTAGTCTAGACTAGTGCTGTAGCCGAACCGCCGAACCAAACGGAAGTTCGCCGAACATGGCACTTTCGAACCGAAATAAACTTGTCATTTTGTACCTAATTTTCATGTCATAATTGGTCATTTTATATTTACTTTTTGCCCATTTTCCGCCTTTGTGATTTATGCCTATCCAGTGGTGGGCACGACTTCACTGGCGCCATTTAAATCCCAAATCCTGACCACGCTACGTCGCGATCGCAAGCTATAAACTAGAATACATGTGCGTGATCAAAACAAGTTCAGCTCAAACCCATTTAACAAAAAAAATCAATATTTTAATTGTAACAATATCGGACAAATTTTACAATATAATTAATGAAATAAATATATATTATAGTATGGTATTTATTTATTCAGGAAAAATAGGTATTTTATATTTTTCCTATGGAAAATAAAAACTTATAAAAAAAATTTATTTGAAGAGCCTGAATTAATCTTCAAGATGGCAGCTTTCATGACTCTAACATTAGACAACCGTCTCGGAAAATCTTGAAAAAATATCATTTATTGACAAATTGAAAACATGATTCTTTTAAAATTGAAAATAAAACACGATTCAAGACGGAAATACGAATGTAAGTAGTACTTTTCTTCACAAATAATTACGTTTCGAGCAGTTTTTTAATGTGAAATTCGTGCTGGTCGGAAGCACTGTTTTCAGCAGGAGTGGGCAAAAGTCCTTCGTGCTGGTCGTGCCCGGCCGGCCGGCCCGCCCAGTGTCGACCGCCCCGCCCAGTGCCGACCGCCGTGGCTATAACGCTGCTTGCTATTACATGTATATTACCGAACCCCGAACCGAACCAAGTTTGGGTGAAAAATTGCCGAACTCTGCCGAACCGAACCAAACACGAACATAGCGTCTGACTTACAGCACTAGTCTAGACTATACCTTTGCTTGGCCTTAGTAATTTTTTCGTTTTTCTGTTCTCAATGGCCCTGAAGGGACACGCAGACGTAGACATGAATATTGGACGCAGATTTTCCAGCAGATTTTCACCAGGAAGATCCGCGTAATATAGCCATCCTAGAATGCATATGAATATTTGCGTTGGAACTGTGAGGCGGAGATCAAATTCAAAATTAAATCAGCCAGATTCTGGACTAAATTAACCAGTATGTCGCAATGATTATGGACGAGTTACGACCTGGGTAGTCATTCGTTTATGGTAAGCCTCCCGATTTGTCGCAATGTCACTTATCAGTAGGGGCGCTGGTCTGAGAATAAGGATCGTCTTCATAAACGAGGATCGTCTTCGGAAACACGGACCAATGCGTCCTCAAAAATAAGGACCGTCTGCATTTTTGCAGACGTTTCATATTTTTGATCGGCACATTGGCGATGCAAAAAAAGGATTCTGCAATGATTTTCTTGATGCATTTTACATTGACATTGTACAGAGACCTTCACATTATAAGCAATAAATCCTTGGGAAGACGGACAACCCATAAAAGTAGACGGTGAACTAGGGTTATTTTTCTCCGGGAATCCATTTTTGGCATCGCCAGCGGGCCGTTCTGTAACATGAAACCCCCAGAGCGCCGATGAAAAAAAATGTCCTCGAAAATGCAGACAACCCTTACTTTTGAGGACGCATTTTGTCCTCGTTTATGAGGATATCCTTGTTTATGAGGACGATCCTCATTCTCGGACCAGCCCCCCTACTGCTTATGTAAAGTAAACTTAGCTTTGCATTTGTAACTTTTGAATGAAATCTCATATTTGATAAATTATCGCATCAGATTCTGTGTGGGTGCCGATCATGAATATTGATGACTAGCGCATGACGTATATAGAGCCAATCAAAAGCAGCGACAGGATGGCTATATTACAAAAAAAAAGGTCCATTCGCCAATACACAAAAACACACCCGCGGTCACATGCGGTCCGAATTGCATGTGCAGAATTTACGCGCCTTGGCCATGGGTTTGGGCTGAGCAGCGCTCACGCCTCCCTACTTAGCTGATTCACAAAATGGGGGGGAGGGGTATTTTTAAAACTATAATACCTTGTGATCCCTTAACCACTTGACTGCTACCCACACGTACATGTACGTGCTTAGGGCATTGCACTTTAAAAACCGTAGCACTGCATAATGCCAAGCCTTACTGTGTAATTAGCACTGTAATGATGTTATACAGGTCTTGAACAGTAGATTGCACTCTTTCAATACAAATCTGGCTTTTTTGTGTACAGTGTACCGTTTTTGTCAGGTTTTTGTACAGTACAAAAATGCAGTAGCACAGGGGGTATGAACACGTTTTAAGCCAATAGCAGTCAAGTGGTTAAGGCTAGCAAAAAAATAAGCGCACACCTACATGTATATTCCTTACGACTGGGACTACTTATTGGTCAGGGCGTCATTTCTAAAAAGGGGCAAATTTTAGAGCTGGCATGCAAACAACATTTAAATCGCTGTTTTGACTAATATATTTTGAGAAATCCAAAATGGCGCCCCTTTGCAATATGGTCATTATTCTGCTCTTTCATATGACACCTCATTTATTGAGTATCACCTTCAGGATCAAAACAAATAAAGGGTTGATTCTAAATCTTTTTTTTTAAACGACCAATTTTCATGGTCGCGCAATGCACTGTAGCCTGCAATCTCTATGGGAAGGATTTTAGGACACAACATCAGGTGCGCGATGAGACACCCTACGTAAAGCCTTTTTCAAACGTCTTTAGATATGGGTCTAGGCTAGATCTATATTGAAACGCCGAAAAAAGTGCGTTTCGAATGTGACATAAAACTACAGCCAAAATCACGTTTCTGAGAGATGTAGTGAGGCAATATAGCAGGGGCGGCGATTTCTGTTCATGACCTGGGGGGACGAAACGAGAGGAACGAGGGAGGAGTGACGTAATGAGCAAAAACATTGTGTTTTTTTGGGGGGGGGGGGGAGAAAAAAAATCTGAATCATCACCGCTCTTACATGTTACAAAGTGTCAAAGTTGGGGGGGGGGAGCTAAAGACTATAGTATTTGCGATCAAATAGAGCAAAGCAAGTGGCGCGTAAATTGGCGTGGGGTCCAGGGGCAAAGCCCCCAAGCTCAGAGTTTTTAGGCATTTAATAAGGGTCAGATGAGCATATTTTGATACCTTATTTGTGACACTTGCATGCAGATCCGTAATCGGAGTGGGGTCCAGGGGGCGAAGCCCCCAGAAGCTTAGCGGTTTTAGGCATTAACTTACGATCAGATGATCATCCAGGGGTCGCCTTAGGGCCCTTGGTGAGATGTAGGGCGCGGAGCCCCCGGAAACTCAAGGTTTATAATAATTATGTACCTAAAAGAGTTTGCAAATGTTTATCCGTAATAAATCTGTTCATTCGTATAATACTCGTTCCTGTATCAAATATCATTATCCAAAGGTCTCTACCCAGTTAATGCTTTACTCTTTTAGACATAATGGTCCCCATATTTGGAATGATTTAACTGATAAGCTAACATTATGCACAACTATATCATCCTTTAAAGTTCTATTGAAGAGACAGTTGGTCTCTTCTTATTTCCCTTAACTCTTTCTTTTTAGTTATTCTACCTTGCAATGTACCATGCATATGTGTGCGTGTGTGTGTGTGTGTGTGAATGGTGTGTGCGTATGTTTTCGCCAGCAACCGCGGACCACTACATAGAAAACTACCTCAAACCGCGGACGTACCTGCAATGGGGGACCGTCCACGGTTGCGATACCGGTTCCGCCGTATCAAATTTACGACGTAGGGGGCGTTTGAATATTAGATGTCACAGCGTGTAGGCAACATCGACTGGATCAGTCCGATGTGTATCGCGAAATGTCACAGCGCCCCCTTTGATGACTGCGGGAGAGGCGCTCGCTTCCTGGATCATCCCATAGCAGGTACGTCCGCGGTTTGATGTAGTTTTCTATGGAGTGGTCCGCGGTTGCTGGCGATTACCTAGGCACACAAACACAAGTACTAAACTTGGTCCACGGTTGAC